GAGTTGAGGGGAATGCTGTCTGGTTCGAGACCATTCATTAATTCAAACTAAGCTTAATTTGAAGATTGAGTTCATTGTCCATCTCCTCTTAATTAGTGATCTCGGACCAGGCTTCATTCCCCTCAACGCATGCATTAATATACACAGCTCGGCCAAAAACTTCATTCATATTACAATCTATCTCACATGAATTTTCTCCGTTTCATATCTCTTATAATAATAGTGTTGTAAGTAACTATTATTCTATTAACTTCATTAGTTGCTTCCTCTTACCAGTTTATATATATATATACGTATTGATATATGTTCATTCGTATCTACAGAGAAAGAGAAAAGCATCCATCCGTAAAGATCTGATGATGGACATTCTCATCGTCAGTCGAGGAATTTTGACAATTGAAGCAGGTATACATATATGTACGTATATATGTATGTTTTAGTCAAGATAATACAACTTTACTCTGAGAAAAAAGATACAGAATTTTACTATGTGATTAGAAGTTTCTTTTTGATCCGCTTCTTCATCCTCTATCAACTAACAAATGGATTTTTAAGGTCTTCATTTTTAGTTATCTTTTTAAAGATAAAAGTAGTACCATATACTTATATATATATATATATGTATATCATGGAGAAATTGCAATGCGTACTATTAATGTTCTTGTTGACATGTATTAATAGAGTTCAACTAATATCATGCAAGTTGCCAGAATAACATGTATGTATATATATATAGTAGCTGCTAATGCTGAATTTCTGATTCTGATGAAGGTGTAGAATTACCAAATTTAACAACTTATTTCCTACCCTTTCTTTGTCTTAAACCAAATTGGTTAAATATTTGAAAGCTAGTGTGAAAACATGACTGATCCAAACAAAGAGAAAAATTAACACAAAAGAAAATTGCTTTATTTTTTTTTTTTTCTCTTTTTAATCTTTATGAGATTGAATTTGGCTTTGCTTGTACAGAGTGGCAAAGAATATTACTAAGAAAGGTCAGATTATACCTTAACTTTTGTGCTTGCATGAATAAGACAAACCTTGTTATTATGTTAATTAAATCGAGCAATTAAGAGTGTCATTATGAGAAAGAGAATAGCCAGCTCCCTCAGTATAAACCCATTACTTTCCTTTTATGCCGGGTGGGTCACATCCTCCATGTGGGGGGTCACTGACTCCCAGGGCTAGGGCTACCTATATCTCTGAATCATTGACTTAATATTCATGTTTGTTTTCAAAGCCAAACCTATCAGAATTGAGCTCTGAGAAATGGGAGATCACGTGTACTATAAATACCATTTGCCCAGATCATATATTTTTCACTATTCACCTTACAACTTATTGATTTTAATGAATGACATAAACTTATTTTACACTAACGATGATGTTATAAGTTTGTTTTGTTTTTGAGTTAGTACGAAGAACATAACTTAAAAAAAAAAGGGATAAACCACGAGAGACTCTATAAGAACATCAACAAGAATAGAAATAAATGAAGACTAAAAATTTATTTATTTTCTATGACTAGAGAACTCACAATTAAAGGTTCAACAAGACTTTGTTTGGAAAAATCTTCTGTTACATTTAAAGTCAACTTCTCATTATTTTTAAATAAATTAGTTTTGTTATTTTTTAAATAAAATTTATACGTTAAAAATTTTTTTAAAGTAAAAGATTTTAGAAAAATATTTATCTGTGTTAATATATATGATTAAAAAATTACATCTATTTATTCAAAAAATATCATCGTAAACGACTAATATAATATTAGAAGTGATTTAATAAACATCATTTATAACATACAAAAATTACAAATTTAACATTACGTGTGATTAATCGTGTATTTGTTTTATATTTCAATATGAATAATATCAGTATCCAACACAAAATATCTTTTTAAATATTAAATATGTGAGAAAAATGTGATTTTAAATTATCAATCGAAAATGATGTGTGTTATCAGAAATACAGTATTTAAAAAATTATTGAACTCCTCATAAGTATTTATATCATTTTAATATCATTTAATATAATACGTATTCGATCTGGGTTAACATGATATTTTTATTAATAATATTAGTTTGTATTAATGACGGGTGATTGAATTGGATATTTTTTTTAAAAGTATAGAGAGTAAATTTACAAAAAAAAAAAAAAATAGTACATGAAGTAATTTAAATATTTTAAAATAATATGAAGACTAATTTAATATTTGGCCATGCACAAATATAAATATATAAATTTCATCCCATAAATACATATATACATCATAGATTTGTATACATACAAATATACACACACACACACACACACACATATATATATAAGTATATATAATAAGATACATAATATATATATCAATCATGCATAGATATATACATACATATATAAACATACAGTATATGTTATATTTATAGATATTAAACATACATATAGTAATTTACTTGTTTACACACTTTCAAACATTATTTAGTATTATATTTTTTTATATATAATTCACAAAAATAAGTTTACTGATTTTTACAGTAATTTTTTTATATAATCAATTTCAAAAATTTAAGAATAGAATATAACAACATATTTAATATAATTACACGAACTCTATACTTTAAAAAATGAAAAAAAAAATGCATGCATAATTATGTCAGAAAACTAACAAAATAAAATAATAAAAATATAACAAAATATATATTTATATTTATTATTTCATCAAAAATATCCAAAATTAAAAGGAAAAGAAAAAAAAAATGAATGCATTAGTAGTGTTGTTGTTGAATGGGTATAGAGAATAAGAGCCGGTTGCAAAATATGAAATGCAAATGATTTGAGCATAGGAAGACAAGATCTAGCTTCCTAGCTTTTCATGTGTTTTTGCATAACATAATTTTTATCAGTACCCTCAATCATAAACACACATATAATATAGATTATATATACATATATATATATGATGGAGCTATAATATACTCAGGAAAAAAGATGGAACTATAGATTTTTAACTACAAAATTTCATACTCTCAATCAAACGTATGTCATCCCTAGAGGAGTCAAAAGAGAAGAGACATCTTGAGTGTGTATTTGAAAGAACGTGATTCCTTTGCTCGATAAAGTTTATAGACTTAGTCGTCATCTTCTTTTTTTTTTTTTTTTTTGGGCAAAGGGGAGAGAACCAATTCCAATACGTAGAAGATGATGGATGTGGGTCGCCATCTACTTTTTGTGGGTTGAAACCAAAATTTACAAAATCTAAAAAGCATTCAAAAGAAAATTGAAAAAGAAGAAGAAGAAGAAGAAGAAGAAGAAGAAGGAAAAAAAAAAAAAAAAAAGAAAAGAAAAAAATTAGAAAGTCATCTTAGAAAAAAAGGTCAGATTTTCCTCACATCACCTTACTCTTTCTTTTCCTTTCTCAGCTACCAAAAAGTTGATTATATTCCAACTTTGTATTTAAAAATGTTATATCATATAAGCCATAATTATAAAGATTAGAGATTTCGGGTGATAAGATGAATAGGTGATATTTTAATAAAAGTCTTTCACTCTTATTATGTGACATTTATATTTTGTATTACGTAATAAAACTGAGTAAGTAAAAGATTATTGAATGTTTATAAAATTGTATACTTTTTTTTTTTTTTTTTTGTGTGTGTTTCGTTTCAAATAGAAGCATGAGCAATGTACGTAAAATTTAAATATTTCATATATGATTTTTTCTGTTAATTGTAGTTATTAATTACATGTATTACTGAGAATTGAGTATGCTATTTGTTTCGACATGTTTATAATCAGTTTGAAAATCTTCTTCGAATAAAAAAAAAGATTGAAACTTGATTGTATAACTTTCGTGTCTATGTATTATTTATTTATTTATTATTTCTTGTTATATGTTAATAAGAATATGACTAATTATTTAGCATGACATAAAATTAATATTGCTAATTAAAAGAAGAGCTCAGAGAAATACAATAATAAATGTTAACATCCAATTTAATACGCAACAAAAAGGTTCGAGATTTAATTATTTTTAAACAACATTTAATTGAACAATTTTTTTTTTTATTTTAAATTAGAGCATTTTATTTATTTCAAAATAGAATATTAATTTTAAAGACTTGCTGTAACTAATTTACATCAGGCACAGAATATCCCAAGGCCCAATCTGTTAGCCATCGTGGTTGGTTTTTAATTGTGGCTGAAAAATTAAATTCTATCGTACAGCCCGACGGCGTCCTCTAAAATTAATTAATTTCGTAATTCAAACACATTTTTATCACCCTCTACTTTCACATGCTTCTCCCACATTATAAGTACAGATTTAATTTACTGCCATAATTTTACAAGTTTGGCCTCAAATTTAATTCTTTCTAATCATATGTTATGGATGGTTTGATATTTTGTTATAATAAATTAATGTTAACGAGGGTAAAAATCCGGAAAATTCGGTTACCAAATACAAAAAAGCTTTATTTAGCCTATTCACTGGATGTGAGGTAAAAAATAATTGTCAGGTAAAAAATTA